AAAAAAAAAAAAAATCAGCCAAAAAAAAAAATGTAGTCTCCCTAAACTAGAGGGTAGTATGCTCAGTGAAATAAGCCAGGCAGAGAAAGACAAGTACCAAATGATTTCCCTCATTTATGGAGTATAACAATGAAGCAAAACTGAAGGAACAAAACAGCAGCAGACTCACAAACTCCAAGAAGGGACTAGCAGTTACCAAAGGGGAGGGGTGGGGAAGGGCAGGGAGGGAGGGAGGGAGAGGGGATTGAAGGGTATTATGATTACTACACATGGTGTTGGGGGGATCATGGGGAAGACAGTGTAGCACAAAGATAAGTAATGACTCTGTGGCATCTTACTACACTGATGGACAGTGACTGCAATGGGGTATGGGCGGGGACTTGATAACATGGGTAAATGTAGTAACCACATTGTTTTTCATGTGAAACCTTCATAAGAGTGTATATCAATAGTACCTTAATAAAAAAATTGTATTAAAAAAAAGTCTCCCTATTTTATGGATGGAAAAATCAGAGCCCTGGGAAGCTTATTGCAAGCCATCCAATGAGGCAAGGTTTAAGCTTTCAGTAAGTTTCCATCTGGATTACAATTCTAGTAAGTGGGTCTGCCAAACATCCCTTTCCGGTAAACTGCACAGACACTATAAACAGCTTCCCTTCTAAAGCAGCTAGGGTACACTAAAAGGCCACCAAACATTAAAATTAGTCCACTAAACCAGAGATCACAAAGCAATCCAATTTACCTCTCTGTTTAATCCTATCCTTTCCAATTTCAGCTCTACTGGCCTTGGCTTGGAAGTAAGCAACCATATGTAGCTCATCTAGGATGGAAGAAGCTTGAAGTCAGGAAAAGATAAAAACTCCCAAACCAGGATCTTGTGTGAAGAGGACATGGGTACTTCCAGCACTACAGAGCAGCTAAAAGAGGAGCTAAGCTTCGCAACCCCTTACCCTGGCAACACCAAGTGAGGCACACCTTTTATTACAAGAGTTTACAAACAGAGCTACGAAAAAAAAAAGTAAAAGAGGGAAGCAAGGAGGGAGAGGGGGAGAGAGGGAGAGAGAGAAAAAAGATATACACTCATGGATGGGAATGTGGGCTATCGGCTGGGGACCCCTCCACAGTGAGGACTGATAACATTTGTGCCCATAGCTTAGAGCTGAGACAGGCTCTGTCTCCCATTACTGTCCTGGGGCCAGGGCATCTGAAGCAAGAAACTGCTAGGAAGATTGCAGGAGCCCCAGAAAGGAAAGGTCTCTGGTAAACGGTGTCTCCTTAAAGTCCAGGAAGCATGTTTGTTCCTGGGGTTAAAGGCACATTTTTGGAGAAAGACCCCAAGATGTAAAGAAGGAAGCAATCTTCTGTGGCACCAACAATAATGAAGTTTGTGGCTAAAATCATCCTGAATCTGGGGGTAGGAAGGACCTTCATATATAAATTTCTTCTAGTTCCTCATTTGAAAATATGTTGAGTTGGCAGCTTGTCTTTCTTTTTTAGTCTCTTTAGCTCTTAGTTGAGTTGGTAGCTTGTACAGTAGAAAAAAGGAAGGGTTGGCAATAGTAGGGCAATGAAGGTTCAAGGTTGGATCCCAGGAATCTGGGATCATGTGCTGTGGGTTGGCTTCAGGAGGTGAATGAGTTTCCTGCAGTGTTTGGCGGAGGCAGGCCTGGAACTGCTGTGTGGTAGTAACTGATTCCCCAGAGTGAGCAAGGCCAATCTCTCACTGGCACCCAGTGACACCAGCACCTGTGGGATAGAGAGCAGATGACAGAACATAACGTGAGGAGGACTCTTATTCGGCCCAGCAATTCCCACTCCAGAAAAGGGACAAAGAGAAAATAGGCCCTGGGGGACTCCAACTAAGATTGTGTGAGAACAGAGAAACCTTGGGAACAGGAATCATCAGGACTAGAGGTTCACTTCCATTCTGTGGTTACAATGAATCCAAGGCACCAAAGGACCAAGCACTTGTTTCAAAGAAGAGGCAAGGAATGCAGCAGTGGTAGTGAGCTAAAAGGTGTGGTTCCCAGCAATGGATCCAGACCAGCAGGTCATAACCTCATTACCACCAAGAATCCCTTTTATTATTCTCCACATGGATTGCCAGAGAATCCTATAATCTGTATCATCATCATCCTATCAAAATTTCTGTTTGGCATCAACCACTCAAGGTTAGCACAGTGAGTTATGATAATTTGGAGGTTTAGCCTTATCACAGGTGGATGTGTGATTTCCATTTGGCTGTTTATATACTGAAAACTGACTAGGAAGGCAGAATAAAGCAGTGGTTCAATATGGGCTCTGGATTCAGACTCCTGGGTTCAAAAGTCAAGCCTACATACTAGCTTTCTAACTTGAACAAGTTATTAAGTTCTTTGTGCCTCAGTTTCCTCACCTGCAAAATGAGGAACTGGATAGCTTAAACCAAATAATAAAGGTAAAATGCTTAAATTAACATGGTGTTTTTCACACACTAAGTGCTAAAAAAGATAGCATCTTCATGGCCTCCAGAATGAAACCATTCTAAACCTCAACAAATCCTAGTTTTCCCTCACGTGCCTCTCACAGACTCTGGAAGAGAGAAACAGTGATCCTTGAGACACCAGGCATCTCGCAGCCTAAGGTCCCTTCCCTTCTCCAGAGTGGGAAATGGTAGTTGGAGAATTCATCTCCAAGACACTGACCCTGGATTTCCGGCTCCCAGAGAGGTATATAGCTTGGGTTTCTGGATGTCTCAATTCCCTCAAGACTATCCCAATGTTGGGAAATACAACCCAGTCATCATGGTCCATAATCCCCTGAGCTGTACCTGATGGATGCAGGGCTCCTGTTGGACGCTCCGGAGGGCAATGAGAGCAGCTTCTTTCACATCTGCCTGGGGGTCTCCACATGCCATCTCCAGGAGCCGCTGGGGTACTTGGCACTTTAACAGCTCCTTCCCCAACCCCTCAGGCCCCAAGTTGCCCAGAGCTGATGCAGCATTGCGCCGGATGCCAGCCTGAGGATCCCTAAGCAGCTGGGTCAAACTGGGTACCGCAGCTGCCAGAGCAGGTCCCAGGGGACCAGCCTGGTAAGCTGCATTACCCACAGCGAAGCTGGCATTGCGCCGCACAGCAGGGTCCTTATCTACAAGTCCCAGCAGCAGAAGATTGAGCAACCCAGCCTGGCTCTGCAGCGCCCCACGAAGGGTCACACTGTGTTGGAGCAAGTGTCCCAGGAGCCCATAAGTATGGGCCCACACAGAATTATCTGGGTGGCCCAGGAGGCTGTGCAGGGGCCGGTAAGATTCATCGGAGCCAGCCAGGAGTTCTTGAATAAAGGACAAGTTGCTGGGAGACAGTACACGGGCTGTGTGGGCCAGCAGGGAAAGAAGGTCAGAGGTCAGCAGTGGCTGGTCACCCAGGAGAGCAACTGAGAGGAACGAGATGATAGTTCTAGGGGAGGCAGCCACTGTGTTCACAAACTGGTTGAGAGAGGTGGAGTTTGTCAGAGCCAGGTGTGTGAGGAGACTGATGGGCAGCTCGACTTGTGGCAATGGAAGATGGTGGCAGCAAACCTGGGAGGAGAGGGGGAGGGGTCCCGGCAAAAGCAGTTCAGGGAGAGGGAGAGTACATCAGAGCAAGGCAGCGAGAAGGAGTCCAACTCTGGGGGAGAGAAAAGCCAAGCTACGGAAGAAACACCAGAGCTGGAAGACCTGACCCACAGCACTCCACGTGAATCACAATGTGGAGCCTAAGAGAACAGGTTTGTTCTAAGCTCATTCCCTGCTCGGTAAGGACTCAGTCACTCCATCTTCAATGATGCACTGATTAATGCCAAGAATTGTCACAGAAGTAATTCCTGCCTGAGGAGCTGAGACTCCAGTGACTACACTAGGATGTTCTCCCTACTGAGCTCCAACAGAGTCCCAATAAAGGACTGATGGACAGAGGAGCATCAGCCCCCAGCTCCAACCATATGCCTCTGTCCAGGCCTGAATGCTCTCTCTTAGATCAAACCAGGTGATCTGCTCTTACCAGGGCCTAGGAGAGCTGTAAGGAAGTAAATTAGAGTATACAAGGCTGGCCATCTTCCTCTCCCACCTTCATGCCTGGTAGCTTCCCAAGTACCTGCAGCAGGTGGGCAGCAACTTCTGAGTCCACAAGGTCAGCCAAGACACCTCCATGGAGGTCAGCATCTACATCCAGGGCGAAGGGGAAGCAGAGGAGCTGGCAGACAGAGAGCACCATGATGGGGAGAAACTCAGACCCGTGAGGCCTAAGGAGGGGAGTGTGGAAGGATTTACTTGGTCTTGCTCACTCACCCTTTATCATTCTTCCCTGCTCTCTTCTCAATCCTAAATCCAGCTTCCTTTCTCCAATCTCATCAATCCCACTGCTTGCCTCATAGCTCAAGCTGTCAACTATTTCTCTCCTGCCTTCCTTCCCCAACCCCACCACAGACACTCTGAATCTCCTGGACTTTCCACCTCTAGCGCAAACTCACGCCTGGCCCAGCTGATGGAGGAAGCTGGGGGAAAGCAGATGCTTCAGGGTGGACATAAGGATACTTCCATGCTGAGAAAGGTGACTCAGACATAACTGGGGCTCCTGGGTGAAGGCAGCCACGGCCAGGCTCAGCAGGGCTGCCATGCCTGGAAACACCAAAAATGGAGACCTAGTGGAGCAGGCAAGAGGCCCAGAAGCCCCTGCTTCCTCATGGCTCCCAGGGCTCCCACCTACTCAGTCCCTTCCACATCCTTGAGCAGCTCTAGCATAACTGCCATCTTCTCTTCTCCCCAGGCAGCAGCAGAAAATCTCCACAAGCTAGCTAACCCAGCTCTAGGCCGTCTCCTCTTGAGAGGCACCAGCCCCTCCCAGTACAAAGGAAGCCACACTGATGGAAAGATACCTTGGGGTGAGATCAAAGTCCAGTCTGGCTCTAGGCTTTGGGGACTGGGTAGTGACAGCTCCTCTTCCTGCAGAGCTACCTCCTCAGGGAACCTCAGAACCATGGAGAAGCGGTGCCACAGCACAGTCCACATTTCTGAGCTGGCTATGTCCCTTATCAGGCTTCCTTTCTCCTGCTATAGACAAAATTGAAGGAGAGAGGGTGGGGAGGGCGGAGTCAGGAGCCAAAACGCCAATGCCTTTTTTTACTTCTGTCCCTGACCTATAAGGAAAAGGAGTCCCAGAAATAATTTCTCTGTTCTCCTACATGGATTTCCCTGTTATCTCAGTTCCTTGTTTTTATCACATCTTCACCCCTTGGCCCCTCAACTCATGTGCATGTCTGGTAGAAACCAGGGAATTACAGCTTTTCTCCCAAAAGAATCCCAAGAGATGTAGCTGAATAGGTCCACACTGAGGGCAAGTGGCCCCACTCTAAGGCTACCACCGGCACTGTAGCTTAACATTAGAGCTGAATGTGGGTTGCTTCTTCATTCTAATGTCCAGTGGATCCCCAAGATGCCTAGTTTCTCTTTCCTTACTTCCCAGGGAACCTAGGATGCTCCTATACCTGTGTGACGAGCTGCAGGAGAAGGATGAGGAGGCCATCGTAGAATCCACAGCCACCAGGTGGAGGCAGCCAGACCTGGCAGAGATAAGAAGAATTCAGATGCCTGAGAGGGATGAGGTGGCCTCACAAGCCTGGGCACCCAAATCCCAGTCAGGCAAAAGCGCTCTTCCTCAGCCTCAGGTATAGTGGGGAGGTTCTTCTGGACTTGGGAGTGTTGATTCCTACCTAGTCATTCAATGACTAACACTATCCTAAAGACACACAGCCTGGTAGGGTAGGCAGACATACAACCACAGGTTAGGAAGACACTTGCTGCTCAAGAGGCCAAAGTTGTAGGTCAGGTGGAATGACACAGATAAGAATGCCTACCTCTACCTCCTGGAGGTAGAATACTGATGGATGAAATGTTTAAAAGGCAGACAGGAGGAGGAGAAGGTAGAAAGGGAGAACATTCCAAGGGGAAGTCATGACATTAAGGCAGGTTATAAAAGGCCATGTGAATTTTGTAAGTGGTAATTCTTTCAGTACAGCAGGACTATAGAGCCCAGAGGTAAGAGCTGAGCTTTGAATAGCAGACTAAGAGTTTGGATGTTATCCTGGAAGCAATAGGATGCCACTGAGGACGTATGCAAGCTCCACATAAGACTTTTTGTCTCTTTTCTTCACTGCTGTATCCTCAGAGCCTAGAATGGTGTTCTGTACTCAATGCATATTTCTATGCTAAAAAAATTATTGAACAAATAACTAGGTTTTTGAGAAAGCTTACTCTGGTAGCAGTGAAGAGAACAGACTAGAGAGAACCTAGGAGAGAGATCCAGGCAGGGCCATATTCCAAGGTAGAGATGATGTGCATAAAAACTAAGGTAGGTCAGTAACAGGGCCATGGCAGGAGAAGATCTGACAATAGGAAGGCAAAATACATAAGACCTGGGGAAACCATTTGGGTGAGGAAATATGGAGAAGAGGGAGAGGTCTGTGACAACTCCCAGGTTTCTGACTTAGGCTAGTCGATGAATGTTAGTGCCATCACTAATACACCACCTCTGTGAAGTTCAATTTTATCTAGAAAAAGCAGATGAGTATTACTATATTTCATGTGTCTTTCAAGTGTGTTGTGAAGATAGCACGTGAAATTATAAAGAATGATACATAAGTAAGGCGGGACAATAATTTCAATATGAGGTCTATCCTTCTTTTTTACAAAACGAGGGAAATATATTCCGAAGTGTCTAAAAAGGAGAGGAGGAAAAGGCCTGGAAAAGAAGAAAGCAGAAAAGCTTCATAATGGGCTGAATTCCTGAAGAGTTCACAGAATGTGAGCCACCTTTTCCATCTAAGTTAAAGAGAAGTAGAGGGAAAAGTGAGTGTAACTGCAGTAGGAGGGGAAGAGATTAAGCATCAGGATGCTACCAAGATGAGCAGAAGCTTCAGGAAGAGAAGACTAAATCTCACTCCTCAGATAACTTAGGTCTCCTTCCTCCTTTAGAAGTCCTAAGTGTGCCATCAATATACAATGGGGAAATAACAGTCTCTTGAACAACTGGTGTTGGCAAAACTGGACAGCTACATTTAAGAGCATAAAACTGGATTATTGTCTAACTCCATACACAAAAGCAAACTCAAAATGGATCAAATACCTGAATGTAAGTCATGAAACCACAAAACTTATAGAAGAAAACAGGCAAAAATCTCTTGAATATAAACATGAGCAACTTTTTCCTGAACACATATCCTTGGACAAGGGAAACAAAAGCAAAAATGAGCAAGTGGAACTACATCAAACTAAAAATCTTCTGTACAGCAAAGGACACCATTGGCAGAACAAAAAAACACCCTACAGTATGGGAGAATATATTTGTAAATGACTTACCCAATAAGGGGTCAACATCCAAAATATACAAAGAACTCATATGCCTCAACACCCAAAAAACAAATAACCTGTTAAAAAAATGGGCAGAGGTTCTGAACAGACACTTCTCCAAAGAAGAAATTCAGATGGCCAACAGGCACAGGAAAAGATGCTCCACATCACTAATCATCAGGGAAATGCAAATTAAAACCACAATGAGATATCACTTCACACCAGTTAGGATGGCCAACATCGAAAAGACAAGAAACAACAAATGCTGGTGAGGAGAAACGGGAACCCTCCTACACTGTTGGTGGGAATGTAAATTAGTTCATCCATTGTGCAAAGCAATAAGGAGGTTCCTCAAAATACTAAAAATAGAAATACCATTTGACCCAGGAATTCCACTCCTAGGCATTTACCCAAAGAAACAAGATCCATGATTTGAAAAGACATATGCACCCCTATGTTTACTGCAGCACTATTTACAATAGCCAAGAAATGGAAGCAACCTAAGTGTCCATCAGTAGATGAATGGATAAAGAACATGTGATACGTATATACAACTGAATATTGCTCAGCCATAAAAAGGAAAGAAATCCTACCATTTGCAATAACATGGATGGAGCTGGAGGGTATTATGCTCAGTGAAATAAGCCAGGCGGAGAAAGACAAATACCAAATGACTTCAATCATTTGTAGAGTATAAAAACAAAGCAAAACTGAAAGAACAAAACAGCAGCAGACTCACAGACTCCAAGAAGGGACTAGTGGTTACCAAAGGGGAGCAGTGGGGTAGGAAGAAGGAGATTAAGGGGCACTATAATTCACAATCATAATACAGGTAGGTCACAGGGAAGGCAATACAGCACAGAAAAAAACAAATGATGACTCTGTAGTATCTTACTATGCTAATAACAGTGACTGCAATGGGGGAGTGAGGACTTTATAATATGGGTGAATGTTGAAACCACAATGTTGTTCATGTGAAACCTTTATAAGATTGTATGTCAATGAAACTTTAATAAAAAAAAAAGTAAGGGATAAGGGGGGGGAAGAAGAAGGGGGGTATTAAGATTAGC